TTGGCCGTAGGGAGGTGATTGGCAGGAGGCGGTCTCTGAAATACCCAGGTCCAATACCATGAAGGGCTTTATAAGTGACGACTAGCACCTTGAAGCGTATCCGAATAAGCAGCCAGTGCAGCTCGCGGAGGATAGGTGTGACGTGAGTGTACCGGGGTGCACCCACAATCGCTCACGCGGCTGCATTCTGGACCAGCTGAAGTCTCCGAATGCTCTTCAAGCATTGAAGCCCTAAATGCCTTGAAGCCCTAAATCAGTGAGAAATGCACAACTGCTCAGCTCTCATTCATTTCAGTAATGCCCTCCAGATTAGCATGAATCCTGATTGTGATCCTTTCCATAATTAATTCTATTATTTTCCCACAAACCTAAAGGAATGGAACCTTGTTTTCTAAAAATTCCGAGTCTTAATACCAAGTCATATAGGGTAAATATGCAAGTGTTAACTGATACTGCCCTGATCTTGAGGTTGTTTCTTTCCCTTCGGTTCTCACAGGGAGGGATGATTGCCTTGCTGCTTTCCATCTTGTGTCTGGTTATGATTCTCTACACGCGCCGGCGTTGGTGCAAGCGCCGTCGAGTGCCGCAGCCCCAGAAGAGCGCCAGTGCTGAGGCAGCCAATGAAATTCACTACATCCCCTCGGTGCTGATTGGTGGCCACGGCCGCGAGAGTCTGCGGAATGCCCGGGTGCAAGGGCACAACTCCAGTGGGACGCTGAGCATCAGAGAGACTCCAATCCTAGATGGTTATGAATATGACATTTCTGACCTGCGCCACCACTTACAACGAGAATGCATGAACGGGGGTGAGGACTTTGCCAGCCAGATGACCAGAACACTGGATTCGCTACAAGGCTGTAATGAAAAATCAAGCATGGATCTAACCCCAGGTGGGATTTAGTCATAATCAGCATATATTTTTAACCTATACCTATATTATGCGATTGGTTAGGTTATTCGGCATGTGTTTAGACCGTTATGTTTTGGTACCTTCGATGCACAGCTTATTGGACCTAATTTCTCAATATGAAATGCTGGTATTTTGTTTTCAGCCATATAATCCATCACTTTCCCATTGTCTCTAGCAAGGCTAATTTCTGGCTACACAATTTTGGATTGCCATAGATTCAGATTCAGATTCAGATTTAATTTATTTGTATGCCGCCCTTCTCCGGGAGGGACT